ATCGCACTACATTGGTATCAACTAGGTTGCCTCAGCTGGCTTTAGTCTTATCCAAGAGTAGTTTTGGGCACCAGCTATTAAGTTTGGTAAGATTCTCCAATGCGTAATTTAGGGATGTGATGAGCTTATTAAATATCAACATTTATTACCTCGATGCCTAAATTAGGTAGGTTGGTTACCCACTTTATTGAACACAACTCTTTTTTTTCACAACCATCAGAAAAGGATACAGGATCGTGGGTAATTTGTACTTTTACGAAAATAAATTCTTATTTTGGTGCCTCTGCTTTCGTTGGCGACCTCTGCGTGCATTGTCGTAAGCATTAATAAACACTTACATCTTATACGGTACGGTTATCCAAACACGTTAATTCGGAAAAAATCCAATTGTGCTCAGAGATTGAACCGATTGAGATACGCTTACATTTTGCTTAATAATTTTCTACTTTAACTGAATTTATAGCTATTTTGGTCGTTTTTTATATTTTCATTACTCACAAATATTAAATAATTTTAAAAGCAAATTGTAAGGTTTTTTTGAAGTCAGCCTAAGGTATATTACTTTATCTTTTGTTTCGTTGTTAATTAATAACGATTCTAAATTTATATAGGCTCTTTGAGCATTAATTTGGTTGTTTTTGAAACTAAGCTCTTGGATTCTTGAAGTATTGTTTAAATGCTCTATTACTATCTTGTGAATTTATGTGTGTGAGTGGGTTGCAGAACTTTAAACTAGCAAGGTTTTTTGTTAATGAATTTGGTCTCATCAGTTGCGTTCTGCCCTGACTTACTAATTAGCACAACACCAGTGTGGGTTTTATCTGGAATTATTATGAGAGATTTTGCATTAAATAAACCGTGAAGTAAGCTGTTCTCGATGATATCATATTGGATTTACCTGATAAATGACCCACACTTTTACATTGCACTGCCTAATTTCTCTTAAGGATTTCGAAGTAATGCAGACTACGTAGCTATAAGAGCTAGAATTTTTTTCGTGTTTTTAGCCTGATGAAACCAAGCCATGTCGAAAATACCAAAATCGCTGAGTTATTTTCCGATTTCATCCTAAAGGAGCACATCAGCGTCCTTGACAGTTACCGGTCACAGTTGTCCAATTCTGCTACTAGAAAGCATGACAGTTTTGCCTTGATTATTAATTTCTCCAGTCTCTGTGAATTCAGTAGTCTGCTTTCTCAACACCTCCTATCTAGCCCTCTCAGCACTCTTGATGTGTTCAACACTGTACTACAGCGTACTTTTTTAAGTCGCTGTGGTGATGGTGCACCCCTTATCAGGTGCGTGGTGCGCATCACTTCATTGCCACCAATACCAGAGGTGTTCCGATCCACCATACCCCAATCCGATCAAGTAGGTCAATTTTTCGCATTGCAATGCACCGTTACACGTGTGGGGGCAGTTCAAGTGATTCACATTGAGCGGTCTTTTCGTTGTCGCAGTTGCGGCGGCACAGTTAAAGCTTCAGCTGACTTCAACCAGTTCTACGCAATCCAGCCGCCTAAACGATGCCAAAATATCACTGATAAGTGCACATCCACCACTTTCGACGTAATTACCGACGAAAAGTCTGCGATGCTGCTCACTTGCCAGGAGATACGTGTTAATGAGCGCTTCAGCTGCCTTGCGGTTGGCAAGATGCCAAAATCGATATCTGCTTGCCTCGATACTGACTTGGTGGACAGTGTTCGACCTGGTGATGACATAATTCTTAATGGAGTACTTACTCACCGCTGGCGAACTCCCAAAGTTGGTTTTCCGTGTGAAATCGAGACTGTGTTTCTTGCCAATTCAATAGAGAATCTCTCAGAGATGCGTTTTCGGGGAGAGATGAGCGGGGACAACGGTATTCGCAAGATTGGTAAACGTTTTAGAAGCTACTGGTTGTCGGCAGAAAGTAAGGGCGATTTTAACTTGGCCCTGCATCTGCGTGATGAAATTGTGAAGAATATCTGCCCCGATATCTACGGTCTTTTCTTCCTAAAGTTGTCACTGGCGCTAGTCCTTGTTGGGGCGCCGCCTTGCTTGGACAAGTCACGTAAGCCCGCTATTCTCATTAATGAATCTGGTTGTTGTGTGATTTATGTTTGGTTACTTACGTAGCAGGCCAGAGTATGCTCTGTAGACGTATTTCTTGTCGTATTGAGGAGTAATTGAATCGTTGTGATACATTATTGTGGTTTTCAGGTCGTACCTCCATGAAACTCATCCCACGTACACTGGTCTGGCATGAAGACTTGTGCGTCGCTCCTTCAACCACCTAACGTTTCGTGTGTGTCAGGAGAAATAAGCTAAATCTGCCAGTTGTTGAGACCTCAATAAACACCGTAAATGTGTATTGACTATGTTAAAACCGCTTATAATTTTCAAAAGTGCAATTTTGAAATATGAACCTCTGACTTGGTGGTATATTTGGACCATTAGATTTAGTCCATTAATGTACTATTAAAATGGCCTACAGGACACGTAAGTAAAATCAGTATTTTCTATGCCACTTTTATTTGCGTTTACTGGCACAAATTGACGTAAAGTATCCCTTTAAGGGTTTGCTCTCTTTTCTTTTTGGAATAGGTGAGCTCTAAACAGTTTTTTGACCAGTCTACCATTTTCGAAACATTTTAACTCACAATGCTTGTACAGTGCAGACACCACTTTCAAGTCTGACTACCTCCTTGTAGTGGAAGAACATGATTTTGAAAATAACGCAACGAAGTCAGCAAACACATTGGGAACCGATCTACGTATCCGTGGAAATCTGCATCTTCTTCTCATAGGTGAGCCTAGCACGGCCAAATCCGCTCTTTTGCGCTCATCGTGTCGGCTTGCGGGACGGGCGATCTTTACAGCCGCAACAGGAACCACTGCGGCTGGCCTAACCGCCGCTGCTGTGAGAGACGCCTCAGGGTGGGCTCTGGAGGCGGGCGCTCTGGTTCTCGCTGATGGTGGTGTCTGTGCCATTGACGAATTTGCCAGTTTGAGGGGTGCTGACCGGGCCGCTGTCCATGAAGCCATGGAACAACAGACCGTTTCGCTGGCAAAGGCGGGCCTTGTGGCTAGACTCAACTGTCGTTGTGCGGTCGTTGCGGCGTCCTCCTTGCTCGGTGATGAGGGAAGCAGCGATGGTCTACCTCCTAGTCCTTTACTCTCAAGATTCGATCTCGTGTGGCGCCTTCGTGATCCTTTTAATTGCGAGGGTTGGGATTCTGCTGTGTCTAACCATGTGCTCGGTCTTGAAGGAGGTGATGGAGTCACGGTATTTACTTGCCTTGTTTCCATTGTACTAAGTGCCTTAGAATGTTCACATTTATAACCACACTCAACGACTACTTTGAGGTTGTGCATTTCAGAGTGCTTCAAGGCGTCACCACGACGTTCTTTCTCTTTAGACACGATTCGCTTGGACTACAGAGGAGTTGCGAAATTATATATTCTGGGTTCGAAGCAAATTTCGGCCCCAGTTGTCCTCTGGAGCTGCTATTCTCTTGCAACGCTACTATCAACTGCGAAGGCGCACGTTACAACGGGTTTATGGATTGGAACAGGACCAGGCGGTAGCTGGAAGGACGACGCTGCGTCTGCTTGAGAGCCTGGTTCGCTTGACTCAGGCTCATGCACGCCTCATGGCCCGAAATACAACCTTCGTTGAGGTAAAATATGGGAATGCCATCAATTCGATATACTACATTATAATAATCGATTAACCTTAAGAAATAATGGCAGGGCCTGCCAGCAGTAAAGCCGTAAAGTGAAAACCAAGCTCATGCCTAGCCTAGCTGAATAAAGGGACATGTTAAGCACTTGTATTCGGGGTTTCATCTGGCATTTTGTCAAACACCTTGCCAATTTAAGTAACTTTGGCGTATAGTAAGTGTAGTGAAGGCCTGTCGGTTGTGGTTTATGAAACTCGGTTGGCACATCCCCTGAGATTCCAACACGATCAAAGCCTAAGTCCATGCCTGCGAAGGTGTTATACCGACCGCCTTTCTTATGTCTTTGCATTATAACATTAGCTGAAACTCGGATATCGTCCAGGAGCCTCATTGTGGTATTTAATGCCTCGTATAAGGAATATTAACATGGCAAAGTTGTTGTTTTCTTATGGAAGCCTGAACAGTTAGTGATTTTGCAAGCACCAACAACTTGTCAGTAAGCTTCATATCGTTAGTAAAACCCCCACGACTCATGAATCTCTTAGACTTCCGAGGATATTAGTTCAGATACGCTATTTCAGCACAATTTGCGGCAATCGGAATGCGAGATGAATCATACTTTTAATGACTATCTCCGGTTTTTTTTTACTTGCATTGTTTAAGCTAAGTTTCTGATCAATTATCCTGGGTGGTGGCAGTGTGTACGTTGGAACGATTTTGGTTTTCCCTCACTGCCAGCAGCATTAACGAAAAGCAGGCATTTTCGCTAGGTTCTGGCACCTACCTGGGTATAAACTGAATCAGCCTCAAGAGTGTCCTAAGGGTGATAGTACTAACTTCTCTCAGACCAAAATTTGTGCCTAATTGGAGTTCTCTAATTGTGGTGGTGGTACATAGACGCATTTTGGCTTTTTAGGATGCCGTCGTAGCTATTTGGTTAATGGACTGCTCTCTACAATCGACGTTTGGTCGTAGCGCTTCTGCTATTGAGGTAGGTGGAAACTGCGTTAGTCCACGAAAGACAGTCACATACCATGGAATGGAGAATCATTTTGACACCATTTTGGATACTGTCTTCAAGCAGCTCAACTTACACGTCAAAGACATCGACTCAGAGTGGTTTTTCTCTTCGTCCAAATTAGAACAGGAAACCGAGCCATTATGCACTTCCACTCAAGTGAAGCTTCAAGAATCGTGCGATGTCATTGCTACACAGGATTCTTGTGAGCCAACCTTCCCCAACATCTCGGCTTACCATTTCGCGAACCTGGCAGCTGATAGTAACCATGAGGGCTTGTGCGTAACGAGTAAAGAGGTGTGCGGTTTAAGCGAAAATCTGGAAAATGCCTTTGACTTCGATGTTGATAGTTTCATGCCCAGTGAATTCTCATGCCTTTATGGAACGGTCCCGAAAGATGAACCCGGTGATGTTCACGTCAGAACTGTTCGAGACGGCAAAAAACTAGCCAATGAAGCTAATTTAGACAAGGCAGTCGATCCAGCCTGTGACCACTGTTTTGTCAGCAGTGCATCAGCTAAGGAGAATGTAAAGGATTTTATTGAGGAACCTAAGGCCAAATCTAAACCGGTACTACATAAAGCCCGTACAAAAGCGATCCTTGAGGAGCCGAAAAGCACATGTCACAGCAACATCAGAGCTAATTTTGCCTCCGAGCCATCTGAAAATTCGAAAACCAATGTCCCCAGCCAAAGTTTATCCATTGCCGAGAATAATTCAAGAAACGAAGGTGACACTGCAGCCTTAGGTTCGCGAACTAGACGCAAATTGCAAAGATTTGCATTTACTGAAGCTGCTGCGCAATCTTTCGAGTCCACGAGAAGTCCGTGTGTCTCATCAAAACGGAGTAAGTCAACTGACGAGAAAGACTTCTTTATTGTTCGAAATCTGGCCCCTGAAGACTGGAACTCGCCAAACTTTAGTATCGATTTTGACTTTTAACGCCCAGGGACCCTTGCCTTTGTTATACTTTCTGTATGCCGGGAGAGAAATCTTAGTTTGTATGTAAACCCAGTACGTTCAAGAGAGCAACTCTGTTTTTAGCTATCAAAACAACCAGCATGGCTTTTGGAGGTGTGCGTTCCCACTTGAAGGTGCCATTTCGAGAAAGGTGCTTTTCGAAATAGCAGTATTACTAGTACGTGGTTATCTACGACGGCCTTGTTTGGATCCCTCGCGGTCGTTGGAATGAGCCCTGACATCCCAAATTAAAATGGTGGGACAGGAGAATTAATGTAGTAGAATATTCGGCCGGATCGGTTATACTGAACTAAAGTTACCCACAACACATGCCTTAACTCATTAAAAGTGATTGTGCCCTACTTTCAAACGCGGTAATTTTTGTTAGTCCTTATTTTTACCACAAAACTAAAATGCAGGATTTCTGAAAAGCCACTTGTAACCAGGTGGCAATTCGGTAGATGCTTTTATTCTCCTATTCTCAAGTCAGAGTTGGGCTAACTCTCACAAAGGGCTCCTTTGGCTGAACGGTCACATACCTGGGGGATGCAACCGCATCCACTGATAAGCATCGGCTTTACCGCAAGGGAAGTTTTAGCGGACGTGGGAAAAGGTTCCCGAGAATAGGTACTAAATCGGCTTCAGCTAAACTTTTGACGCATTGCAAAAAAAACAAATTCCCAGGTTTTCTTTTAGTGGACCAAAATCGATCTTACACGCCTATATGAGGTAGTCAATTCCTTGCGTACTAGGTCTCCTAACGCGTCTGAAAATCCGGCTAGAAGCAGCATTCTACCATCTAGCCTGACCCTCGCAAAATTAGGGAGTTATAGTGGGTTGGTCTGAATTGAAGTAACGTTGGTACAAATTATCCTTTGCCATCGGCAGACCCCGCAGTTTACCTTCGGTGTGTGAGAGCTTTTATGACCCAGATGCCTCATCGTGGCCTGTTTGCGAAAGTGGGCATTTGGCCGCGTATAAAATGTCCATTCATCCGTGCATAATCCCCCATAAGGCTAGCTGCTGGGGTCCTGAGACACAGCAACACGAGATTAACATAGTCTGCATTTTTGCGTCCTTTAATTCCTGACAGGCTGAATTGAAAGCCACAAACTTGTTCTCTCGTTTTACTGCCAAATTAGTTTCCAAAAATGTTACAACAGATGGAGCTGGGGACCGCAGCTCAATACTGCCAGTTCAGGTGGCTGTAATTGCATTTTTATATTATTAAAGTACATGGATTAAACACCGGTTCAATGGTATAAAGACAACGATGCCAATGCTTCGCTGTAGAACAATTTGAGTGTGGGGGAAGTGGGGGGTCAAGGTGGCCGTTGGATGGGGTCGTGCACAAAGAGTGGGAAGTCACTGGGCACCTCGATGAGAGGCACATGCTGACTGGGTATTTTGTCAAAGACATTAGCCCGGTAGTCGTACACGTGCAGCTCTTTCAGCTTTACCTCCCAGTCCAGTTTTTGCACCATCATTAGCGATTCGGCCTCATGCAGCTGGCGACAAAGAAGCTTCTTCTAGAATGGAAGCCGAACTATATTTAGAGGAGGTACCCTAAGTTCCACAATGCAGTGGCACCGATCTTCTAATTAACGCTTCCGCGAAACCTAAAAAGCAGCTATGTAGAACTGCACATTATTATAGTGATTACAAATGGTAACGCTGTATTCATAATGTTGCAGTAAGGTTGGATGGGACTGTCGTCTTTAAGCGCACCCGAAAGCTTAGAATGAAGTCTAAGAATTTTGGAATCCCAAGTTATCCTTTGATTCGTAGTTTAACTATCCAGAAATCTTCCACCTCTCACCTGGACTTAATGTCGCTTCACAGGCATCTAGGACATGTTTGTGTTTTGCAAGTTCGAACCAATATTGTCGAAAGTCATTTATTTAGGTTTACGATTGTCAAATTACTTGCCTTTTCAAGATGGAAGTTATCTTTGATGTCTTGGAGCCAACCAATAAGAGTTCGTGCTTTGAAACGGTCTCGCACGTTCTCTTCATCCTGAAAAAGGAAGAGACCTCGTGAGGTTTAAAGTGATTAATATTTGCCTCACTAGTTCGTTAATAGCATTTTCGGCAACCTCCAGCATACGATGACCTTAGACATCTGTCTAAGTTAGGTCTTGCATAGCAAAACCTTCCTACTTACTAATGCATTTTACAGGGAGTCAGCCCATGTTGAGCCATTAAGGTGGCCGCAAAGAGACAAGAGTAGGGACCATGGTTTATTAATATACTTGCCCGATGTTCAGGATCCTTGAATGGAGGCAAGTAGGTGAAGCCCTTGAATGCCATAACAGAACAAAACGAAAGAGGCCGTGGTTGGTTGGCTAAGGCGATTGTCGCCCTCGTCTGAGCCCTCAGCACAGATTGCTCGGCGCAGAGTCTAAGCTGCTCCTACAGAAACAGAGAGAAGTCAAAATGTTGGGCAACCGGAGTGCGCATTGGCGTCATTTGCTTTACCACACTTTACCAAAGTGTGATGGGTATTGTGAATACATGAATGTTTTTACCCAACGAATATGGCTAAAGCCCTGTATGCTGACAGAAAACTAGCGGCTTATGCAGTACGCCACCATGTCAGGGGCAACTGCTGGAAACGTAGTGTTTGTGCAGGCGGCACGCGTTTTTTGTGGTGTCAGACACTCGTAAAAGTTGGCGCTGTGGTAGCGCGCCTGTGTGCATGCATAGACCGAGATGGGAAACGGGTAAAGGTGATTGAATGAATGCTGATGAGATTAGAAACAGTTTGGTATGCCCATTTAACGTTAGAATATCAGCTGTTTTTATACGAACTAAAACAGCGAATTGAATCTACAGAAGCGTGACTAGAATTGCGGATTACGATAAAATGACCAAAGCTTACTCTTTCTGACTGGTGTTTGAGTGTTTGTGCGTAGCGTTCTTCTTCTTGCTCCTCGTACAATTCAGCTAACGGAGCAGGAAGTCCAGACGGACAGGGGCGCTAATAATGCGAAATAAGTAATCAGTCTGCGTATTTGCAACACCCGCTCGACGTCACCAACGCAATAACTTTGATTAAATGCAATGATTGATAACTGAAATAAATGGAGTGACGAAGCGTGTTAGATACATGTGTTTGTACGTGTGGACCAAGTCCACATCTACGGTACAACTGTTAAGTCGCACACCAGAGTAGTAAAGTCCACGCACATGCTTTGGAAGGCACTTAGAGCTTTTCAAGACAAAACCTTTTGCAAGTCGCTAGAAAAGATAGCTACGGTGTCAAAAATAGGAGGAGATATGGCGGCTAAAATGCATACCCGGCCCTGGTGCTGGGGAATACGGTCAGCAAGAAGGTAGCCTCGTGTTACGAGAAGATAGTCCTGGTAACCTGTCGGTTCCTTTGGTTGCAGTTCCACTAACTTGCCAATCAATTCGGTCAACTATAAAAGGACACGAAGGTTGTTTCAGATTTACGAAAAAAGGGAGTTTGAACACATACATTGGCTTCAAATTACAAATGTTACCACTTTTAAAGAGATTGCACTACCTCTCTAGTGCAGCCGAAAAAAAGGTGGGAACAGTGACCACTGTTAGGATGCCAGCTGTCGCGACACTCGACTTAAACACCAACTCATGATCAAATCACGCAACGCAAGTACGATGGTCTGTGACAACCTCGAGCTTAAAGTTTGGCAAAACATGCCGAAAATAAGTGAAAATTTGGTGACAAGCATTATAATCGTTTCGCGTTGCATGGTGTGGAAAAAAGAGTAACCGGAAAATACTAACCCCTCGATTAAGTTCTGAGGCCTTCTCGTAGGGATTTTCGCCCCAACCAGCTACACTTAGTTTACTTGGGTCATCGAAGACGCGAGTCGGCTTACTACCATTGTCTTGTGCCGCTGGGCCGGACATAGACAGTGACACATTAGCCCCGCCACTGTCGCTCATAATTTGTTCCTCATCCCCAGCGTTATTGTCGCCTGTGATTGTTGAGGCAGTGGAATTGGGTCGGAGAGAGATTTCGTTAGTGGTGGTGTCTTCATGGTCGGTGAATTTGCCAGCGTCTGTTTCGTCCGTGCGGTGATCGTTGTTGCTATTACTCTCAGCACCACTACAGGTACCACCGGCTCCATTTCCACTTGGTCCCTTTGTGCGATATTTACGTTTCTTCAAAGGAGTTACGTCGGCTGGACAAGTCAAAAGTGAGAAAATCAGATAAGTATTCGCTGATTGATGGGATAATGAATAAATCCATACCCCTTTTAAACGCATTATGAACTTGGGTTTTAAGTGAAAAACGTATGACCAAGTAATGAACAATAATGTCATCAATAAGACACAAGTGTCAAATCAAATATCATTAAGAGACATCCAGACGTGGACAGTATGATTGGGATTGGACTGGATTTTAGGTTTAAAATAACCAAGTAATCAGAAGCAAAACTTGTAAGATTCGTGAAGAGATAAGCGTCACCCCGTTTTTCTCGTTCCTCCCTTTCACGTTGGGCCGCGGTATGAGAGCGCAGTGTTCGAGAACTTCGGGTTTTCGGTGTTTCGTCCGGTTTCACCTAGATCGAAACCAAAATCAAGACAAGGGAATAATGGGTTGTCCAGATATCGGATTTACTTTTAACATATAAATAATCGTGCATTAGAACGTACAGAGAAAAGAGTAGATATCAATGAAGTAATGATTACATCATAGTTAAGAAGTACTAATGGGGAATGCTGCAGCTTATTAATGATATTGGGGAAAGGCTTGTTGAAAACAGTTTAGGTGCTTAGACTTTAAGAAATGCAAAACAACATTAGACAACACAAAACTAACCTCACTATTATCCTTCACCCTTGCTTCATTCGAGTCCGGAACGTGTTTTCTCGTAAGTGACTCGTTCGTGGATTTCACCGCGCTTAACGAAGTTGACGATGTGACCTTAGAAAGCTTTCCACCACCTCGTCTGGTTTGATGGGAGGCTGCAAACAACGCATCTCCCCACTTCCGATCCCCTTCGTCTGTGTCCTCCATCGCACATGACTCTTCCTGTTCTCCCTTTGACGCTTCACCGCATGTTTCGTGTTCTTTTCCGTCGACCACCTCGGTGGAATCAACAATACACGACAACTGCGATGTTGTAGCATGAGGGTCACTTCCATTATCGTGCGCTTTTTCGGCTCCATCAGCCGTATCATTGGGACTCCTGGTAGAAAGTGCGTTGTCAAGTCCAGCTTGGCTCAATTCGAGCGGAAGGGAAAGTGTGGATTGGTGTGAAGAGGAAGGCGGTGAAGGAGGGCTAGTATTACCAAGTTTGATGCGAAGTGGGGGAACCTTAGGTGAACGTCCGTCATCGCTCTCTCGATCGTCCGTCTCTCCCAAGCAGGCGTTTGGTTTCTACAAAGGAAAAAAACATTGCGGGCTTTTCGCAATGAGTCTAACAAAAGCAAATCCCTTGCTTTGTCATATCGTGAGATATTTTTTTCACTACTTCATTTTCGAAAGGTTACAACGCAGCCAAAGTCTATGTACTTAATTGTAATTTGAACGGAATACTTTTATTACAGTTTAAGGAATTCACTCTGTTTCCAGTACGGCGAAATTAGATGTTAATGAATACCTTCATGACATGTTCAATGATACAAAAGGAAGATTTTTGCTTATTTTAAGGTAGGTGAACAACTTACATGTTCTCCAGACTCAGCCTTAATCCGCTCAACATTTGTTTCAACAGCCAGATAGGAAGTTCCCTGTCCCGATTGTTCATTCTTACTGACCAGAAGCTCGTCCTCTTGTTTGAGGGTCACATCAATTGTAGCGGCAGCAAGGCCGGCGACAGCGGCTTGGTCCATCTGATTATCTTGGTTTTCCATAACAGTGTAGTGACCAGCTTCTATGGCGAAGCGTAACTTGAGTGGGGGTCCACAAGTGTTTGGTGAAACAGAAGAGGGAGGCCCAGAGTGAGAAGGATCTGCTCCTACAGTGTTGACATGGAGGGAGGATGTGGTAGCAGGAGGCAAGAACGTTGAACTGAAACGATGCGTGTGCGGTGGTGAAGAGGAGCCTGATGCGGTGTTGTTTGTGGGTGCCTGCGAGGGAATCTCCTGGTTCAGTTGGGGTGTAAGCTCTACCTCCTCATCATCAAAAGCGTAGGGGTCCTTTTTAGTGACTGTGAAAAGGTATTGCCACATAATGTCAAAGTCAGCCAATAAAGGTTTTAGTCGCATGGTAAACTTCAACATCGGAGACGGGATTACTTTACAAAACACGCAGTTTCCCAACCCACTTCAATACCAAAATCGGTAAACTATACACACTCTCAAAAATATACTTGCCCGGCCTGGGAGGCTGAAGAATGTTGCTGGCGGTCTCACCAACTAGGACAGAGGGAGTTGAACTGGGCATTGTGTTCCTACGCACTGCATTGGGAGAATGGTGTTTGTGGCTATGATGATGGTGGTGGGTGTGTGAGTGAGGTGAGATTGATGCTCGATGTTGCTGGGACTGCCCATATCCCGGACTTGAATTCGAGTGCTCAGGGCTACTTCGTCGTTTGACACAACCACCAACATGTTCCTCGATGAGTGAACCTCGACTCAGGTGGGGAGCATCGAGAGGCGGAGACCTTGAAGATGTCGTAGAGGATTTCTTGGTGGAATGCAGTGCCATTGAGCTTGAGGTACTTGCGTGATCTCGGAGCTGACTACTCTAAAGTACAACCCAGCAGAACGAGTAACTATGTCGTCAATTAATGGCGAAGGAATTACTAAGTAAGCATTTGACGCTCTAAAAAATCTAGTTACATAGGTCGCATTATTAGTTTGAAAGAGGGCGGTTTTCAAGGGCATCAATTCATTTATTAATTCTATTGCCAAGGGTAACTTTGGACACCAAAATACAGCCTTGCAATTTCTGTGGGTGCTTGTGAAAAGAGGGACCAACAAAAAAATCATCGTACACCGTGGTTGTAGTTACGACAATGTAATAGCCGTACAACTAATTTTTCAAACACTGCGTAATATACATACTGAGACGCAGATCGTGCAAAAATATGTTGAAACCGACGGTACGCTCGATTTGTTTTGCTGAAAGTGGATAATTCTAAGACCACACAAGAACTTTCACACAATTGCATAATGACAAACATTTGCATTTGAACGTGTCCAGCGCCGACGAGTAGACACAGCCCTGGGAACCTTTTTTTCCTTAGCTCGCTAAGATCGTCCCCGTTCTAGTACCCAGGTGTATCTGAGTGCGTTTGCATTTGTGACATGTGACCGACTGACTACAGCAGCATCCTGTTCTGTGAGTTGACCTGGTCCTACGCGGGCCACTGAAGGACACCATGAACAAAAATTCTTAGCTGATTTGACGAAGCAATTGGCCTATACTGCACACATCGTATTTCAGCAAGACCGGTAAGCAAAAAATCTGCTATGGTTATTTTTAAAAAATGAACAATTAGGTCTGCGTTTAAATTAGCTCAATGTTGAACCTTGTAAGCGTTCCGAACATAGACACTAAAGAACTCCATCGTCGGATCTGACACGGGCGAAGATCAAAATATTAGTTCTCCCAAATCTTTTCTTTGAATGATGGCAGAAACAATACTACAGCATCTATTAATTTACGGTGAAACACTTAAAAGAAGTAGCAACAATTGTCGAAATAGTGAAAGCCTTTCTGACCTCGGACTACGATTGCTGGAGTGTCTAATTGTGAATGAAAAACGAGAAACAATTAGGGAACTTAATCGCCTGTAACTTAAGGTACTGAAACGATGGAGCTATACAGTAATATAGGCGCACATTAGGCCCACCTGTCGTAAAATTGCTTGGCTGGCTTCGTTGGGACACAAGTCAACGGGACGGTCGCCGTTGGCATTACAGATTTTCGGATCGGCACCGTAACGCAGCAGTGCTCGAATGATGCGGACATGGCCTTCCCGAGCCGCTTCGTGCAAGGGTGTATTGCCATTCCCCATAGTGCTGTTACCTCCCCGAGGAATAGCCCTTAAATTGGGATTCGCGTTGTGCTTTAAAAGGTAGCCCACAAGGTGGGAGAAATTTTGTACACTGCCCTCGTGAAGCGCCGTCCGACCTGGAGTGAACGCATAAAAGATAATCAAACTAGGGTAGAAACCGATCACATTACAAAAAGAATAAACGTGGAACGGCAAGAAAAGTTTCGGGAGGATTTACAGGAGCAAATAAGACATGAAGCAGACAAAAAGCTCAAATAAAAACCACCACGATTAATGTACACCATTAAATGGAGTCCCGAGGGATTAAACTTCGTGCAAAACTGGTACAAACGTGAATGCAAACATTGTATGAACACATCTTAACCGCTAAATGGATGAACACCTACAGTGGTACTGATAGTCACGAAATTGGGAGCCATTTTGAAAGCATAGCACTCCATAAATAGGTATACATATAAAAAAGGATGCAAAATACCATTACTGCGTTATTCAATTATTACATAATAAGAGAGACGCAGATTAAATCTAAGCGAGGAGGATTTCAATATGTTAGCGGATCTGAGGTGCGGCTCCCAGAAACAGTGTGAATCTCTTGCTGGTGATGGACTCATGCCACACTTTTTATAAAGGTACTTAAACCATAGATTCTCTCCCCTAATTTAATCAACCGCAATCTTGCTACACGGAAGCTAATGCAAATTAGAACCGCAGTATTGGTAAAAAACAAGCACACGCGCACGTAACAAAACTCACCGTGAACGTCCTGTTCATTTACGTCGACCCCTTCTTTTATGAGCATCTTCACTGTAAGCAAATCGCCCTTTTTTGAGGCTCGCATAAGCGCGGACTCGGCGCCGTTGCCTCGATGTTGCTGAGGGGCTGGTTTTCTTGAGGTCGAGTGGTGGCAAGATGAGGCGTGGCCATAGGCATGAAAACAGTGAGGGTGGCCATAACTACCCGAAGACTTCTCTGTCTGATGACCAGAATCTTGATGTGGGCTACTGTATCGAGATGGGGTTGAACCGCTAGAGGTAACAGTCGGAGTGGCGGAGTATTGCGACTTTGCACCTGGGGGTGAGGGTCGTTCCAACTCGAGGTCCCGCTCGCGGCTCTCCCAAGATTGCTTTGCACCTTACAGCACATTTTATCAGTATTATTATTACAATTACAACTATTTTAGCAAAAAACAGGCATTGTGAATACCTGGGAAGAGTAATTTTTCTATACACTCCGGCGTTCCAGTAACATTACATTGTGTACTCAAGTGATCGATTACATGCAAAAGAAAAATTCATTAACCCAGGCGTGCAAAACGTCCATAAATTGCGGTAGTGCTTTATATAGACTGTTGGTCATGTCAAAATTACACGCATAGGATCCGAAAAGGGAGGCCTATTTTGGTGATGAATTGCACGATCCCAGGCGACGTCTAAGCACCGACTGGGACATAATTGGTATTCAGGACCTCTCTCAAAAAATTGGGTTTCGTGGGTCAATTGATCTCAACAAACAGCAGAATATTTGAAATACGATAGACGGTCGACTCAAAAATGTGCAAGTGAGTCCCAAAAAGATAAAATGGGTTTACAGGGGAGGGTAGTACCACGATCCGACGGTGAGTTTTTTGTCTCCATTAACTTCAAAAGTGCGAACTGTTGGCGCTCCGATACCGGCATATGATTTCGAGACTTTGAAACGGACAAACTGGCAGCAGGGCAATGGGCGACTGGAGAGTCATCGCGCTTCCTTTTAGATGAAGAAACTGCGTAAAATATAAATACGGGTGTACTGAGACACTCGAGGCAATGAAAATAATGGCTACATTGCTAACAAGTGCTTGGCATTGACCTAAGGCAGACAGATAAAATCAAACAGCTAGATGAATATTTATAAGTTAATTATAGAGCTAGGATTGCGATAAGTAACTGACATCTAAATACGGTACTTTGTTTAAGCATAAATAATTAAAAAGCAACCACACTCTGGAAGAGTAAACCTCAATCCAATGACGCCAAAAAAAAAGTTATTTTGACATGAGATTAAAGCACACGACAGTGCGTGCTCTGTAATTGAGCTGAAAAAGACCAAGACAATGGTCTATGCGGTGGAGCATATTTAAAACAAACCGTATTACTAAAGTATGTATCGTATACGGTAAATAAAAGTAAAATTTGTTCACAAAAAAATACATTCCGAAAAAGGCTCTCCACAACTTTTAACAAGCCCAACGATGTTACTAGGATTCAGAAATTTTCAGAAGCAACATGAATGTTACATAAAATTGAAACATAAACAGAAAACCTAAAAGTGCGACTTACATTCATCATCTCGGGTACGTCGTCGCTTCTCATCCCGCATTACTCCACTAAGAAATTATTCCAAGTCCCGTTGTTTGCGGTTCCTGAAACGTAATATATATCAGAAAAATAAATTAAATCTAGGTAACACAGAATGCACGACAGATGTAACATAATTTCGGAAATTCATGGAAAGGAGAACCGGATATTTGCCAGAATATACGGCTCTATTTCAAATTCGACCAGCTGATGCAAATGCGACTCGAAAACTCAAGCGTCAGAAATAAGTGGAGTTAATAAACAAAATATTTTAAAAAAAATGGAATCGATATACGTTTAATTTTACCGTAAACAACCACGAGCGAACAGAAAACGTTCTTCAAGGTTTTCGAACTTTAAAGACCAAAATAATCGATACCAGCAACGACCAATACAGCTGAAGAATTCAGAAATACGCACACTAACACCGGAAAAGACCCGTACCGGCGTTGTTTGGGCGCGGCCATATTGAATCACGTCGAGATCAGCAGATGCAGTCAACGTGACCTTTAAATGCTGCCGAGATAGATGAGCAGTTAACCAAAATTGGAGATAGTTGGGAAGCACTATGTGATAAAATTTCTCCTAGAGAGTGTTGATCGGTTGTAGCACGTCAAAATACCTGTTCTGAAGCACCTTTCTTCAGTTTTTCTTGGACTCGAGTTTACTTCAGGGCGCATTGTCCGAAATCATCTGCAACCAAATTGGGCCCTGATAGAAATCTAACCTATCACCTTAATCTGTGTGTTTAACCTCGCAGAAATCGAAACTTTGATGAGTTGCAAATAGCGACATACCGTACAAAAAAAATGGGGTTTGCTGTAATCAATTTAATACGCTTTGCCCATTGAACTATGAGGCGTTCAACATATTAAAATTAGCCACCAAACAAATCAACCGTAATTTTTTTAGACCACTCTGGGATAAGTTTGTGAGATCCGGCTCTTTTGTTCCTCCTGTTTACGTAAGGTGATAACATGAAATCAGTCAATTGACCTATATCATTCTTAATAAATCTCGAAAATGAATTACGCCTGCCGGCCTATTTGTTAAGTAATTTTGCTCGCGGAAGTGCTCAAAGGATATCGGAGAGTACATTTGAACTTTGAACCTTTTATGCCGTTGTCTTTTATTATCGCATTTTGTAAGAAGATAGTCAAAGTCAGTAGCTCAGATATCCAGACAAAATGACATCTTGAACCCACCATTAAAAGGGAACGATTTGGTGTGTTTAAAAGCATATGCTTGTTTTTGTGCTTTTTGCGCCTCAAACTGTATTCATCATAAGAACTGCTCTATCAGTGAATAAATCGTGAATAGCCGTAAGTAAAATTACTAACTAAAGCAACAAAAATTATCAAACAAGAGAATTAGATGCTAAGCCATCACGGTCCGTGGGAGTAGCAACAAATAGTAAAAAAGAGAAAAAAGGGTCAGAAAACAAATTAAAATGGTGGCTGAATGTTCAAATTTATACATTATAATGTTTATTCAACTTGGACATTCTCTTCGATTCAGGCTTGCTTTTACGCTTCTACTTGCTAGTCGGGTGTTCCAGATCACAAACTACAATCCGTTGTGTCCATTTATGAAATGACTCCTCATCAAGCATGAGGTCTATGAGCCTCAACGTACTTCTTTGTTGAGCAACAAGAGGTTCCAAAACTAAGACGTTGGACAAGACACTGGTCGTTTTGGGTGCTGCGTCACTTGCACTCAGCAGAAAGAAGGCAATAATCGTGGAACTCATGACCTTAGTTTATGCAACTCCATCCCAGTCTTACGAAAGGGAAGGCCAACTCAGAAACCTTATCCAGCCATGACAAACAGACATTACAACAGACCGGGCAATACACCCCCAAAACAACGCGTTCGCGGTCCCTGATGAATCACGCGAATTATGCTGTTAGTGATACGTCGGTCACAGCATTCGTGGGACTTGTTGTGTATCGCGCTGACGCATACTCGTTAATTCGACCGCTTCGACCTCCGACACAATAATGATCAGAATATAATTTAAGAAAAAAACAAATTGCATGGACATCACCATACTTAAAAACCCAACACTTCTAAAGGATATCTTGCGTCTAAACATTGTCCTGTGTGTCATAACTGTGCTGAAAGAGAGCGTGTAAAGGATTAACCCTGACCTAACTTTTTCACAGCAGGTTGATTTGTGTGAGTCACTACTTAACATGCCTGTGTTCGTTGTTGACTCGCTTCCGATAAATACAATCACACATGTGAACACAAGGGTGTACTTCGATGCTTCATAGCAGGTACACGAAGATATCGGTATTGTATATTTTTTCAGCGTTAATAGGTTGATATTGATACTATAGTGAATCGTGTTGATTCACGTCCAATAACTCTGTCCCCGCAGCTTCCAGCACACGTACCCCCTTTTCACGTGGGACCGCTGGTTCATTACCCCTTTGAATGTACCACGACCTCCCGCTTTGGCCATGTGACCTCACAAACGCCTGTGTGCATTTTTACATGTCCACTCAACTGTAAAAGTACACGATACAACTTGGTTGAGCGGTTTAGTAAACGGTTGTGCCTTCTCCACTCTGGTCTTCTATATTTTAGCGGGAACACAGGGTAACGTATTCGGCCTAGATAATCGCATTGGCCCGGGCGTGGTTCAAGACAACATGCCGGGGCCCTCAACAATGTCAATCTATAAAAAGAAAATATTTTAGGGAGCATTGATAACGGTAATGTGATATTGTTAGTATTTGTTAGCCACCTCTTTATTAAAATAATTGGTACTATCGGTGCGACCGGTATTGAAGTCTATTTTATATTTGTTCTTGCGTATAAATTCCCATGTAAGTCTTGATTTTCCATTGACTTATTATTTATTCCAACCCTGGGCCTTAACGACCGGTATACAGAATAAACACTAATTTAATTTTGGCTTGGCGGAGTGTCTATATATTTATTGTACACATTTTTTTTTATATATGTGGCTTAAGCCTTTAAGAGCATATGAATGAAAAAAAGCAAAAATCGTATTAGCTTGTTGACAATATTTTTATTCGTTATTAGCAGAATAAATTTACTCAATTAAAAGATCTTTCATGAGGAAGATAAATTTTCCTAGTCGAGATAGGTCATAAGTGGACTAGGTAGAAGTCGTCATCGAAGTAGCTTTCTATAAAAGCAAACGTGACACACAATATGAGAAAGGAAATGCAGCCCGCCAGGAACAAGTGTTGAGGTAATAATATACCATCGCAGAAAATTTGTAAATTCAAAGTTATCACCCGTTTTTTGTAATATTTAACGCGTTAGTCCTGATTTATCCCTTGTTTTAAATCTAATTCCTATTTAACGCATCTGTGATATGCCTAGTTGTACCGATTGTCGTTTGGTGAATGCACGTTTGCCTGACCTCTAATTTGATCACCTAACTCATTCGTTTTTAAAAACATCGTTCTATCTTCACCTCTTCTCCCACAAACGACCACTTTTCTTTCCTCACACACTGACCATGTACCTTCACTTAAGCCAATTTACATTTGTATGCTCAATGTTTTTGGGTTCGAGCATAGAAGTGCAGTTTGCTTTTTTGTTATATTTTTAAAAGAATAAACTAAGCTACGTCAAACGCGCACTTGTAATGAATTTTGTTAGGAAAAGCTTATTTATGATATAACCAATGACAGGTTGAGCCATCGGTGGGAAATAGCATCGTAAAATTTAGGAAACTCATAGTATGCAAAAAAAGTAGATTTTAAAAAACGAGCTGACATATTGCGACCACTTCCACGTTGACGTAATTTTGTGGAAACTCACACAAGTGCAATTATGTGCAAAAAAATCATGTAATTATATTTACAGCATCTGGTAGGTTTACTTGGTAAAATTATCGTATCACGAATTAGTTACACATTTAGGCTTCGAATTTTTTGTCGAACAAAAGTCGAAAGGATTTCTTTGTAACTTGAATCCACCTTTGTTATAATTGGCTAGCACAATTTTCTGATTTAATTTGTTAATGAGAAGCCAAAATTCAGAATGTATTTTCCTAAACAGGGTTAAGAACATAAATTCAAGTTTTTTATGTGAGTCATTATTGAAATTTTGGCACCTACGGATTTGGTTATGAATTGAGCTATCGTAAAGTAAACTTTTTCCCAGATATTTAAAAAAAGACTTGAAAAAATTCCCTATGTTCTCCATCAGCCCCATTTGTAAAATTTATTGGCTGGTTTCTTTCCCTAAAATTAAAAAACTGCCAATTATGACCAATAACAGAGGGTGTGAAGATTTGATTTAACGGACTGTGGCAGATATGTTGGCTTACCAAAGCAGGCGTGAGAATATTCGAGACCCCAGTGTGATAAATTCTGTACGGACTGTCAGGCACTCGCCACCCATGTCAACCACTGCGGCAACGCAGCTCGTCATATTGTTCTTTATACCTGTCAGAGTCTCGGGTTGGCTGTTGATGTTAACCGCAGGATTTTCAAACGCAAAAAGCGAGAGTATTGGCAAAGTTAGATTCTATCCATTATCTCTACGCCCCTATTGGCTAAAATACATTCCAGTATGATTGCGTAGAATATCCCGAGCCCTAATAGGAAAAATACAGGTACAACAGAACAGGCTTCATTGACCAATCACAAGCCAGAGCAACATGTCAGGCGTCTTCCAATCGAGTCCACGACGCTGGCCACGCTGCAACTCGTTCGTGTCTTTCTCTGGTTGGCTGCATCAATTCATCGCATGCTATTGGAACACAGAGTGACACAGGATTGGCTGCGGCTAGGTGGTCTAACATGTCTGCGCCCTGATCCGACGCCACTGTAGAATACCCGAGCCCTTATGGGAAAAAGACTGGTACAACAGAACAGGCTTTATTGACCAACCACAAGCCTGAGCCACGCGTCGGGCGCCTTCCATCAGAGTCCCCGATGCTGGCCACGTCGCTCTTTATATACTGCATCTCATCCATGTCCTTCTCTGGTTGGCTGCCTTCCTTTCCCGCATGCCATTGGATCGCAGAGAGAC